TTACTTTCAACTCGGCACACCCTTGCACTGACCCTAGAAGAGGAATCATGTCAGTTTGACCCGGCTTGCCCAGCATCTGTACAGCTTGTGCACTTCAGTGAGGCTTTTTGGTGCTTTTATGTAACAGGTGATTGAATCAGCTATTATATAAAAGTGCCAAAAAGCCCCACTGAAGTGCACAAACTATACAGATGCTGGGCAAACTAGGTCAAACTGATGCAGTTCCTCTTCTGGGCTCAGTGCAAGGTCATGCCAAGCTGAAAGTAAAGTCCTATTTTGTTTTGGTTTTTTTCCTATGCCTATAACCTGGGCACTCTGGGCAAACTGATGCAGACAAGAAGAGTCTGCTAAAGTGCTACTTTTTCCCCCATGTCTGTCAGGGCTCTACAACAGCTTAATTAGTCCTGATTCAGTTTCTATAATTATTTGCTGTATCTCTTATTTTTAGAACAAAACCTTATGAATTTGCTGATGTTTTATCAAGTACTACATATTGCAGTTAATGCTGCCTTCTATATAGATGAAACCTTCAAAGTGCTCACCAACCATCTACTGATATTCTGTTTTGTTTTATGTAAGGATTACATTGAATCCTCATTAATAGCTCACCTTTAAACATAATGAACAAAAGCAACCTTTTAAATGAATTTATCTGAATAAACAGTATATAAAGATTTTTTTTTGGGGGGGTGGGTCAGCTAGAAGCTACTTTGAGAGTTTATTATATTCAGAAGAAGATACCATCCAAAAATATAATTAAAAGAGGGTACACAATAGACTGATAATATGAACAAATTAGGACCCTGTTTACATCTGAAGTAGGATGGAGAAAAATTGAAAAGACTTCTTTTGGAGCTTTCTGCATGATTTAAATAAATATATCAATTTTGTATCATATCATGTCTGAAAGTCAATATTTAGATTCCAAACTTAACACAGTGCATGTTTTGAGATCTATATTTCACTTCTTAGTGGATGCATGTACACATACAATTAGCATACCTGGATAAACTCCAGCACCATTTGCACCAAAGTTTACTGCTACCAGCTGCAGTATTTTCACATGCACCCAGGACCACAGCACGTTGAGCCAGGGCAGTGCAGCCCCAGTTGGCAGGGGATCTAGGAGGTCGGCCTGTCAGCCTAGAGCTAATCTTCTCTGGCTCACCTACACTGTAGCATCCTCATGCCCAAGTCAGACCTGGTCACTGTCTACATGTGCATTGAAACCTGCTAAATAACTCCATCATAGGATAATACTTGTGTCAGGCAGTGCTATCCTACAGTGGAGTTAATTATTTTACTTCAGCCTAATAGTACCACACGTATAGATGGTTGAATTAATTAGTCAACTCCACAGTAAAATGCATGTGTAGAAGCCTGCACTGGGACTAGAAGCATGCTTACTACCTTCAGTCTCAAAAGTATTCCCAGATCTGTTTCAATGCCAGAAGCACAGATTTACCAAAGCTTTTATATTATCTGCACATGTAACAGATATATAGATCCTACTGGGGCATCCTAGGTACCAAGTAGTAAAATATCTCTAAACTAAACCAAGTGTTAAGCATTTTTTCAGAACTTTTGTTTTACAGTAGTATTGTATAAAACACAGAAACCATTCCTATAAGCCCAAGAAAAGTATATACGGTAAATATATCCTACATACCAATTTAAGGTAAAAACTCAATTTCTGATATGTTAGAAAAATAACAAATTACTGGATTTAGGATAAGCCTGCATTCTCCCATCACACTACTGTGATGATATTTTAGACCAAACAGAAATATTTTAACATTAATTTCCTAAAATGTCTTGGCTTTGCCTGGAATCCATATTGAACAGTTTAATTAACATTTTATATTGCTTTGGGGGGTTTAAAAGGAATAAGAAATAGTTATGATTTTGCAGTTTCATTCATTAACTATTACAAATTGTCACTGGATCTATCAGCTATGGCACATTGAGAAGACCACAGGAGCTCAGTTTATACTACTTCCTATTTTGTTTTGGAAATGGAGCCTTGTGTTAATAATCATATTTTAATTCTAAATAAACACAATTGCTGATGATAAAAGCAATGGCCAGCATGCAGTGTAAACAGTGTACATTATAAAGATTTATAAACCTGGTTATTATCTCTTTCAGTAAGCAACATTTTGATTATCCGTGTCCACTCCACATTTCCCCCCTGGGTTGCTCAGGCTATAAATACAGAAGGGTGGAAATAATGATTCAAATTAGAAAGCCTTGAAAAGGTCAAGGTGACATTATTTATTATATCACAGAATATACCAGCTTTTACAGTTTGCTCCCACATTCTTGTGCCAAGCATTGCAGGAAGAGCAAGATATGCAAAATATACTGTATTTACTTGAATACAAGACAACCCTGATAATAAGATGACCCCCTTATAATTAGATTCTATATATAGAAAAATGATATATTTGTTACAGTTTTCCAGGTACAGAACCTAATTATCAGAGGTTTACCTTGAATTTGTCCCCCTTCTACTGCTGCAAAAGGTAAAATAAATGTGGGATTTCAGATAACCCCCTTGTCTTCCCCTCATCATTACTATCAGATCCTGCTCTCACTAAGTACATGGAAGTGAGGGGCAAATTTGAAAACACTGGGTGCATCTACACAAAATGTTTACTGAGAAGCTGCCTAATTAGCTCCACAGTAAATGTCTATACGTCTACACATGTGCCCCTATTAGGGCATACAAAACTAATAAACTCCAGAGCAGGCTAGTACTCTAAATACAGGTGCTACCCTGATGCAGACTAAATATAAGTGCTACCCTGATCTTTTCATGCACAGTAATGCATGTGTATACAGAGGGTGCTTCAATGTGGCCCAGCCAGCCCCTCTGCACTTGTGACCCAGCCAGCTCCTCTGCAGCACATTGGACCCAGCCAGACCAGGCCTGAGCTGCTGCCAGCTTGGGCTGCTCCTATTGGGCTCAATGTGCTGTGCACAGATAAACTCCAGTGTTTTTTACTCTTGAGCACACATTCAAATGGTATGCCTGGGAGCAAAAAATTCTGAAGCAATAAGCTCCGGAGTTTATTTGCACACATTAATGGCACATGTAGATGTGTCCACTGGCCTTGAAATAAATATACCTCTAGTAATTTTCATGTAGATAAATTAGCCATAGACTTAGTTCATCCAGAATTGATGCATTTTACTTTTAGGAAACTGCTGCAAGTTTTAGCACAGATACTCCATAATTTTTAAGCAGTACTTTTGTACCTACTTACATATAGTACAAATTATGCATATTGGTCCAAAGTCAAAAGGCTCATGCTTTACCACATAGTTAATTGGTCTAGGCCCCAACAGAGTCAACAGTGTTTCAAGCCATAATGACCCCATAACTCAGCACTGCTAAGTATGTGTGTGTACTCCAAATACTCACCAAAAAGGATCCATGTGCTAATTCACTCCCTACTCATGACTGGAAGTGGGTGTTTTTATCACAAGTCCTAAGATCCTCTGAAAATTGATATGCAGATGAGGCACAGGACAACCTGGTCTGGCTCCACCTCATGGAGGGCAGGACCACACTAATCATATGCAACAGGCTGAGAGAGGGGGCAACAGAGAAATTTTGGGTGAACTGTTTGGGGCCCTGTTTGGTTATGTTTACCAGATATTTAAGGCTGGTGAACAAATAGGAATGATTGGAAATGGGAAATTAAGGCACAACTCAGTTGTGGAAGTAAAGAAAAAGTCAAAATATATTCAGTGTAGTGGTTCACCCTGACTTGAAAAGAGTTGACACTGAGAGGAGTGTATACCTTATTCAAATGGACTGCACTCACTTATTTTGTGATCAGTTTCCATCAGTTTGTTTGACTAATATAGGCCGAGTGTTTTATAGTTATATCCAATGTTGGCTTTATTTAACCAGCTTCATAGTTGGTTTCCATTACTCAGCACATGATACTTCTGGAAGCAGTTTAATGATAGACAATATATTTAATGAGGTTTGCTTGTATGTGAATGGAAGAGGAGGAGCTTTTTTCCCTGTGCTGACTGGAAAGAAAAACCTCATCCTGCATTTCAATAAATCCTGTAAAACCTCTCATGGTAATGAGCAGGAATCCTGGTTTTCGCTGATAAAAAAAAAAAATCCCCAATTTTCATATTTAAAAAAGTAACTCAAAATCCATATTTTTCCATGATTCAAATGGGACACAGTGGTCCCTGATAATGAGATGCACCAACATTCAGAATTCCAAATACCTTACTAGCAAGGGTAGCATATTTCACTGCAAATTCTCTCCAGGTTTGTCCCTTGCTATGACTTTATGTTCTCTGATAGTAAAATATGAGGGGAAATGCTACTACTATTGTCTTTCAGAATGATTATCTCTCCCCCTCTCCTCCCCCACCCTGCCAGATACTTTAACTTAACTCACATGAACAATAAAAGTGATAACTGGGGTTAGGTAAATTCCACCCAAGGAAAAATAACAGACAGTTATTGCCAAATCCCTGACTTGCTCACTATGCAGAACTTTAAAAAGAAGAGAAAAAAAACAAAGTCAAAAAACCCTGCACATATTTTCTTACCACACCTTAACCCTAACTGCTGTACAGTTCAAAGTCCAGTTATAGGAAGTTTTTTCAGATATGGCAACTAATTACTTATCTGTGGTCTTAACATGTGATTTACTCATACTTTAGGGTTTTTTTTTCCTGGAGTGTAAGAAAAATGCCATCTTTCATTATGCTTGATTGCAAAATGAGAGAGATAAGTGTGAAATTATTTTTAATGGAATCCACTTGCTCATCTTGCAGGAAGCACTTACCCATGATTATATGTGCACTTTGACAAGAGTGGAGTTTTTACCTTGATTGTCACTCACTGTCTAATTAAATTCAAGACAAGGAATGTCTCTCAATAAGATTGGGGTTATTATTTTTTGTGGCATGATGACATTTTTTTATAGATGTTTTGGAAAATTGTATGGTGTTCTACTTACCTAAAATCTTGCCAAGTATGAGAGATTTGATTGCATTGAATTCTGTACCTGAAGACAGAATAAATTTCATCCTTTCATTCTGGTTAATCTGCAATATTGTTCCGTGAAAAAAAATAAAGGTCGAATAATGGAAGAAAATTCATTTGGGATGTGTAGGAAGGGGAGAGAAAGAGGCAAAAAAGAAAAGATAGTCTTGTTAATTTTCCCATAAATGTTAGAAAAACAATTCTCAAAGAGAAAATCAATCAGTTAAAGGAAGTTCAGTTTTACAGACAACTTGGCCTAAGTCCCTCAGAACACTATAAATGTGGCTGAGATACTCTTTTAAGTATCTGAGCATCCCCACCTTAGTTTTATTTTTCATACCAATTTAGATTATTCTTTTTTCACACATAATCTGAATACAATTGGTAAGCCCTATGAAAGCATGCCAAAGACTTTTCTTTTTTAAGACAAAAGTTGGCATTTAGCTCCAAATGCAACTTTAAAAGATGAAACATTACACTGTGAATGCTGTGCTCTCAAAGCTCTTGGATAAACTGTCTGCTTTCAAAAGCTGATGACAGTACATAACTGTACCCATGCAACACTTCCCTTAATGTATTGCTTGATTCGTAACATTCAAATCATCAGCATTTATTATACAATTGGGCTTTCTTCCAATACCAGAGTCAAGAAATATGAATGATGTTAGCTAACCTTCCAGTTTTCTTAGAAATCATGAAACACAGTAGACAAGAAACATAGCTTCCTAGCATTTTCTCTTATTCCTAAAAAAAGAAATGCTATGCACCTTAACATCCCAAATACAATACCTTTACAAACTAGGACCAATATATTATTATAGGTTATCATTTAAAGGCAATAGTATTAGTCCTGTTCTCCTAAAATTTAAATAGAAGAGAAAACTGAAAACAATTTTCGAGACCCACATTCATATAGTTTAAGCTGAACTAGAAAACCATTTATTGCCTATTGAAATTAAAGGAGAAGGAGGATCTGACCTTTTAAAATAGGCAAGGTGAACATCAAAGACATCTTTTAGCCCAGACTTTCACTGTTCAACAAGTCTGCTACACTTTCTTTATTTCCTTAAGCTATTAAAAAACAATTTATGTTGGGATACTACTTTTATTGTATTTATTTATTTCATTTTGCTTTAGGTCTTGTACTCTTCAATGACAATCCACTTTTTTTGCTTAACTGAATTACCTCTACAAAGAGCATTTCTTCCTCCCTGTTAATCTTCACATGGTGAAGCTGCCCGTCGGCCATGCTTTTGAAATTGATGCTAAAGACATCAGGATCTTGATGGCTATCTAGCTTGTACCTGATCTGTAAACTTCCTGAAGGGATTGAGTAAATGATATTTTAGTTTCAGGATTACAGTATGTACAAAATAGCTAGTGTAGATCATATCATATACAATAATTCTGCTTTTCAGGTGTGCATTTATAAAGTTGTACAAAGTTTGATTTATGTAACTAACAGACACAAGAAAAACACAAACATGAAACAAAAAAAAGTAACAGAAAACCATGATTGGCTTGGATTATGGAGTTAAACTATTCCACGGGCACATCTACACATGTACTTTAATGCTCAGCAGACTATTAGTGCAGTCTAAATGTGTCTTAATTTAGTACCTCACATTGGAGGTAGTAAATTTAATGTGAATTAGAAAAGGTGTATTGATGCACGTGTAGACGTGCCTTATGAGTGGTGAATTTTTACAATTTAGTCTGAAGAGATAATTATTATGGTATTTCATATCAAGAATGTTACAACAAATTTCAATTGTACTACCACAAGAGCTGGTACTGTTCAACAGTCAAAATGTTTTAAAGGTTCACAAACAATCTAACAATTGAACTTTGGTGGGAAGTGAAGTTTTATATAATATATCTCCCCATTCTCTGATACTTACAATAAATCTGTGCCTGTTTGTCAAGAATTCTGAACATTACAACCCACAGAGTTCATTGTTATTTTTTGGCTGTGTACACACATTCAGATTAACTGGGAGAATTCTTCCAGGTTTATTCCTGGGCCCTGAAGAGTGCAGAGCTTGGAGTAATGACAGTGTGCAGCTGCAGGGAGAGAGAAAGGGGTCGGGACTGTGCACACATCTCAGTGTGATCTGAAGGCTCTCTCAGTCTGCCTGACAACAGATGTCAGCAATTTATAAGGGAGCCCTGAGTCAACCTGCCTTGCAGACTGTCTCTCTCTGCAACACAATGTGGGGATTGTGAAAGGGGTATGTTCTGCTCCTTCCTAAAGCAGCAGAGTCCAACACTGTACCTTCTGGGGTGGAGGAATGCTGGAGGACTATGTTCTTTTCTGAGAGAAGCCATGGTATGTACAGACATTCAATCTCCCAGGAGAAACTCTCCTGGAGTGATTTAACTCTGGTTGTTCCCAGGTTATTTTTCTCCCAAAGTGGCCATTTTTATTCTGGGAGAAAATCCCTGTACCATGGTTTCTCCTAGAAAAGCAGTGACTATCCCAAAAGAAACTGAATGTCTGTACAAAGCCTAATAAGAAATGACTGTATGAGAAGACTTTATATGCCATGACAGAACTACATCATATGAGTTACCAGAGACTCTTTATTTGTTGTAGAAGTATTAGAACTTTTTTATCTTTTAGAAGACAAATTGGACATGTCTAATTTTTCTATTCAGTGGTAGTAGGACTAGAGCCACTAAAGGATTTGCGTACCTACAAGCTAGATGTCTGAATGACTTGCATTTAGGCTCCTGATCCCCAAAGCTATGTATCTAGATCTGAGAGTTTACAACCTAAGGTATGGACAAGCTTTACATGTTGATTATCCTAACCAAAATTTGGGTGATATAAATGCCTGGGTGTGCAAGCACTGACAGGGCTTAGGTCACCCTAAAAATGTTGTGCCCAATCAAAAATTAGTTTTCCTCAGATGTGAACTAAGTTTAGATCAGCATGGGGTTAACACAACCTAGCGAAATGGCTGCCTTGGTCTAGGAAATGCTTGCACACCTTCAGCCCCACGGCTCTCACATGCTTGCATGGCACAGCACAGCCCCAGGGCTCAGAAAGTCCAGCCACTCTCCACAGCCTCAGGGCTGTGGTCTTTTTACCCCCTCACCTTGACTGAGTTATACTTTTACCCATTTGATTAGCCCTGTCATGGGTCTGCCAAACCTCCTGGACCCACTGGCCCTCCCCTGACCCCTTCCCCTCCGCAACTTGCTACTGGCTGCCCACACCTCCTCCAAGCAAGTGGCAAATACTTACATGCAAGGATCCTGACTCAGGTCTAAATGGCTTAAACTAAGTCACCTAAATCTTAAGTGGGTCCACAGAATGCTTGTTCACCCCCTTAGGCTTGTGAAATGCAGCAACTAACAGAAAACAAAAACACACGGATATATCTGCACTCTCATCATTCCCCTATAAAGCATAAATGCTGCTATTCACCAGAGAGATTGAGCCTGAAATAATCTCCCAAGGATGTAGGTGTCTACTTCTATTATTAGATAGAACTGAATAGGGCTTGTTGTTTTATTTGGCAACAGGGTGGTTCATGGGGCTAGAAAGAGGGTCCAGACTCTATAGATTAATGATGAGGGCACTCAGCTCACAGGAAGATAAAAACAGATCTCTGCTCCTAGGTTTATTTCTGTATTTTATCCACTCATGGTTAATATAAACTGCCCTGGAAGCAGAGATGTAATCCAGGACTCTGCAAGTCCCAGCTGCATGCTCTAAATACTGGGCTGCATAGATGCACTCCTTCTTGTACCTTCTCTTCTTTCAAGCAGATAATGTGGAGAGTAGCTGGTGGATAAGGCACTCTCCTTAGTCAGAGGAGATGACTGAACTCTGGTCTCCCACTTCTTAGACAAAGGCTCAATGCCCAAGTTATTGTACATTACATGGGTGGTGGCATCACATTTAAAAATGTGTGTTTTGGGAGTGGCTTGATTTTGTTGGTGTGTTAGATATGACCTACATTCTCTGTGGGGGCTCTTTAGAGGACTCTGGGTTTAGGTAGTAGACAGGTACAGAGATGTGCAGATCAGGGCAGATCTAGGCATACCCAAAAGCAAAACTCCAGGCATCTGGAGAGCTTTCAGGTAAAACAGAGAAACACCAAATAAGTTCAGAAAGCCACTATTCAGAGGTTTTGAGGTTGCATTGTTTGACTTAGGCATACTTTAGGCACCTAAAGCATTTCTTGGTCACAGCTCATAAATATTGCCCGAACTATAAGACACACACAGTCATCAAAAATAGACAAAAGCAAAGATTTGAGAACAAAGTTACTAGACAAAACTGACTGCTCGCCTAAGTTGGCAGAGGTCCACTGATATCATTTTTTTGCAAAGAGTGTACTTCACCGACTTTATTCATCTCCCAAAATGCTTTGGAGTTTAGTATGGAATAATTTGGTCTGAAATTTAGATAAACATATTGTAATATTGTTTATCACAAGCTTACATGTGCATGACATTTTATACTTTGCATGTGTGCAATAGTAACCATCTGTCAGGCTCAACAAAGACAACTTAGTTGAAAATGAGCAAAGAAAAAACTTAATTTGGAATATTTGGATACATTACCAAAGTTGCTAGCTATTATAAGATTAATACTTTTATCCTACCTCTTTGTGTGGGTGTGGTTGTCAGTTTGTAGGTATGTATGACAGAGAAAAAGATACAAATATGTGGCAGAAGGAAAGTATTTTAATCAGGTATTACTGCAGTAATTTTTCATGTAGAAACCATTTTGGCTCTGCTGAAAAATAAATCTATCACTTAAAGAAAGTGACAACTGGAGAACACGATTTGCTTGTGATTCAGGTCTGAGAATCAGAAAAAAATGTGGTTTGCTTCAACAGCTCTAACATTCCATTTTTTTTTTCCTTTTAAACACTCACCGTTTTTGGTAAGAATAACTGAGAGATACTCTTTGTAGAAAGAGCTCACATAAAGCAGTAAGCTTGGAGTCTTTGTTGTCCGAAAGGTAAATGTGATTGCTTCCCTGATCAAGGTCATGTCAGCATAAAAAGAAGAAGCATGTGAACTAGAATTTTTAGTTAAGGTGTAATATTCTTGAAAATTATATGTCACTGAGGTACCGGCTCCAAAATAGGCAGACATCTCTGAAACAACACAGAATTTAATTTTGTCAACATCAAGTAACCAGTAACCAAATATCAGGGTTTTCTTCTTCACTGAAAGGATTAAACATATGCACAGTTACTATGAATACATTAGCAAAGAAATATCAGTAGCACATTACTTAATATCATAGATAAAAATATGAGCCTGGATTGTCCCCACCCAAATCCACACCTGGGCTAGGTACAGGAATTCAAAAAGCCAAAAGCAAAATTGACCCAAGTTACATGGTTTTCTGTAAGTGGCATACTTTAGATCAGACAATTTCAGTAAACAGAACATGCATTTGACTTTTGGTGGGGGAAGCAAATCTTCCACTATTTTTAAACCAATCTATGTGAGCTGAACTTACGTTCTGTTACAGGTATAAACTGGTTTCTGATCATTTAAAAGTGTAATGTCTGTACCTGGCCAAGGAGGGGATCTTCCCTTATTGAATGGAAGTGGATTCAAACATTTCTGTTGCACCCTCCTTGGTACACAGTGGAGGCTCTATGGCTCTGAATTCAACATTGTAGTAGGGGGAAGAAACCAAGAGGGGGTGGAAAGGGCTAGAGTGAACAGGCTGAATCCAAGGGGAGAGAATATTCCCTTCTTTGCTCAGTGCCTGAACTATAATACAGCCTGGTACTACATTATCTTTCCCACATAGCTCCCACACTCCAGGGACATTTTTGAAAAACTGTCATGACCTGATCCACTGTACTTCTATACACAAGTACTACACCAATAGTATTCTATTCTACACAGATTGGAGATGAATAAATCCTATTACTGTAGGCAATGCCATGCTTTCAGCTGCAGCATATAATTAGTCCCAGGTCCCAACAGCATTTATGTTAATTATATCTAGCCCAGTTTAAAACTTTTCAAACATTGACTCCAGCCCTAAATACAATCTTATCCTACAAATACATTTACTGCAGCATATATTTTCAAGATTTCAGGGAAATAGATCAAAATTGTCTTTCTTTGCTATGAGGTATTTGAAATGCAATTTTGCTACGGTGGTATATTTCTTTCCATAGTGCAATGAAGGTTACATCTTGATATCATTTGAAATGATGCAATATGAATTTCGAGGACGTTCAAGTTAAAAAAAAAAAATTTTTTAAAGAAAAAAAAATATTTATTCTACCACTTTGCAGATTTTCTTCAAAAGCTGATTACTGGTAGCTTCCCCAAGATGACCCCTACCTACAGCAGTGTCTGAATTCATTTGGCTCTTAAGTATATCTCTGGAAATTCATTAGCTGCATAATGATAGCAATGATAGAGGCTCATGCAGTTTCTTTAGTATTGTTGTGACAGCAATGGAATACATGGTTGAATGGTATTTTTCCCCCTCAGATTTAAACCACCTTTTGAAATATGCATTGGGAGGACAGAAATCAAGTTGTTTGTTGGTTAACCTTACACAGATACAATCTAATACAAGAAAACCAGAAACAATGAAGAGTGTGACAGCATCTTTCATCCACAAATTGTTCCCACAAAACCTAGCACCCTTGGGTCTATCATTTGCCAAAATTAAATGGCTACGTTGTTTAAATTTAGTGTTGAAAGTCTCTGTTTTATTGCCTGGAGTTGTGTCTACGTGGGATGCTGACTGAGCAGTCGTTACTGGGCAGTCATTTAGTACTTGTGTATACTTCTACATATAAGTACTAAATAACTTTTAGTTATTAGTAGTTGTATGGCTTTAGTAACCAAATGGCTTTTAGATGACGCTGACTGTGCAGTAACTTGTTATTATTGTGCAGTAACGTCTCATCACGCTTCATGCCACACAATGCTACTGCGCAGTAGTAATGAGATACTGCATAGTCAGCATCTCATGTAGATGCAGCCTGGGAGAAACAGAAGAGTTATTTTTCTACCCCCAATGCAAATTTTACAAACAGCAGTTTGGAATCCACAGGCAAATTTTTCAACTAGATCATGTTCCAAATTAGATTATTTTGAATAACTGCAAAGAATTTTCATTTTAATAATTCATATTAATGAGACATAATTATAATAGATTTACTATTCATGCTTGCCTTTCTTACAGAATGGCCCTGTGTAAGCAGAGAATGTGCAGTCACATGAAAATCCACTGTATTTCTCTCTACACTTTCCTCCATTGTGACATAGGTTACCATAGCTGCTACAATGTCCAGGACAACCTGGTTCAACTCCTGGAGTTATCTTTGCTCTTTCTTCCATGTCAAGGGCTACTCCATTTAACTGCAAGGAGCGAATACATCCTAGGAATCCTTTCTGCCTCGATGCAGTCCCACCTGAAATAAATTCACGTGAACTTTTAGAAACTGAAAAGATACGATTGCATAGAAATCTATTTATTTTAGCAGTCCATAACCATCCATTATGGGTTTCTAAATATGTAAATCTATGCAGGTGAAAATATTTATAAATCCCTGTAAAGGGCACATCTGTTTTGTTTTTCCTTGTTTGCTTTTATCAAATAATTACAGGAAATGCTTGAAGCTTCCAATCCAGATGAAGGGTTTTGTACAGTAAAGCCACCAAGCAATGGTATCTTTCCAAGCATATTTCTATTAATTCACAGCAAAATAATGTGTGCGCATCAGATAAAAAACAAACAAACCTTCTAATTGAGAAGAGGAAGGGTAATCCAGAGTTTAGCTCATTGGCCTGGGGCACACCCAAACACTGCTACAAATCTCCCGTGTGACCTTGGGCAGTCACTTAGGACCAGATCAAAAAAAGGTGCCTAAAATACAATTTAGCTAGAATTTAGGCACCTAAGTTTTAAGTTAATAAACCACAGAGACCTTGCTTAGATTTCTGAAAGCCTATATGTGCTGAAGTTTTCACAAGAAAACTTACCTAAGTTCCTACGTTATGGTTAGTATACCTGCGCAGCACAGCTGTCAACTTGTCTGAAGTGAGCATCTCGGGACTTTTCACTCATTTTAAACTATTTGGGGTTAGAAACTGGCATCCCAGGGCTACATTTTTAAGGGCCTGGTTTGTTAGGCATACTCGAACTGAGTACAGCACAAAACACAACATTCATAAACATCAGAGAGGTGGGCAGATTGTGCTGCTGCCACCTACCTTTCACATAAGAACACTCTCTTAGGAAGTGGGCATTCATGCCCACCACAGACTGAAGTTTAGACCCACACAGCCCATATCCCAGGAGTACAGATTTGACCATGGCCATCACAAGGAACTTACACATAGGAAAGCCCAAACAGTCTTATGTAGGAGGCCAGTGTGAGATACTCAGTTCAGCCAAGATGGCAGCAGAACTTTGGGCACAAGTATAATCTTAGAGGTCTACATCCTCCCAAGTACCTAAACAGTTGCAAAGGCTTTATGAAGAACCTAAATTCTGCCTTACTTTATGCACCAATGCCTTTTTTTCCAAAATATGGCTCAATCATTCTTTGTATTGATTCCCCATTTATAAAATGGGGATAGTAGTATTTTTTGCCACCTCATTGCAAAATGAGTTACAGGTAAGCAGATGTTACCTATTGGGAGAGGCTCAGATACCATGGTAATGGAAGCCATGCAAGTACTATAAAGAAATAATTTATTCTTCCTTCCTCTGGATTTCTCTGTGCATCTTAACTTCCTTAAGACATAAAACTTCATTAGAGCAGAGACTATCTTTATGCTTATACCAAGAGGGAAGTTATATGTTGCACTTAGACCATACTAAAGGCACTTAAAACACCAATGTCCACACATTAGAGTTTGTTAATTCATACTCAGTGCCCTCTAAGTGTCTCAAAGTTACACCACTTCAAAAGAAGATTAACTTTGGGCTGTGCTACCTAGTTTGTGTTAAGGTAACTTCAGTCTTCCACAGAGATAAAACAAGCAATCTACAGTCCTTCAGCATCCCAGGAGTCACTGCTTCCAGCCCCAAATCATTGAGCCCAGGTGACATAGCTCCTAACCACCTCTCTGCCCACAGCCCTCTAGTGGCAAATCACAGGCAACAAATGGTATTAACTCTTAATGTGTAACTATTCACAGGCAGACAAGGTTCCTTGGGTGAATCTGATATCTTTTATTAGACCAACCCAAATAGTTGGAAAACAATTATTAAGCAAGCTTTTGGGTTCAAAAACCCTTTGTCAGGCTAAGGAAGTTTCAGCAGTTGGTGTGTGCTGTTCCTGGATGGAATGAAAAGTAAAGAAGCCAGAGGCTGGGCTGGTATGCATACAAGACAGGTAGTCAGTGAAAATGTAGATTGAGGAGTCAATGGGTGAGAGACAGGCTGCAGGGTGGGGAGAGAGAGAGAGAGAGAGAGAGAGAGAAGGGGGATGAAAGTGGAGAGATACCTGGGGAGTCAGATGTCAGGCAGGTTATAATGTGTCATAAATACAATGTCTATATTTAGTCCATGATTTTTAGTATCCAGGAGGTTGATGAAGTGGAGTTCATAGGTTCATCTCTGGGAAGCGCTGTGTAAGTTTCCTTTGAGGATCAGGACTGAGAGATTGGAGAGAGAGTGGTTTTCTTGTGAGAAATGTGCCCCCACAGGTAATTGGGTATTTCTGTCTTTGATAGATTTCCGGTGTGCGTTCATTCTGGTGCGCAGTTGTTGTTTGGTCTCTCCTACGTATTTCCCATCAGGGCATTTGGTGCATTGGATGAGGTATATTACATTTCTGGAGGTGCAGCTGTAAGATCCAGGAATGCTGATGGCTCTGTTGTGGGGTGTAGTAATAGTGGGGGTGGTGGAGATGTGTTGGCAGGTTTCACATTTCTTGTCCTGGCACGGTCTGTATCCTTTTGGTGTGTTCTGGGTCTGAGGAAGTTTACTTCTGGTGATGAGGTTAGCGAGGTTCAGTGCTTGTTTGAAGGCTAGGATGGGTGTCTCTGTGAAGAAGTTTTTAACAATAGAGTCTCTTTCTAGGATGGGTTGCAGCCACCAGCCTGTTGCATGGGATTGTTCTCTGCTAAGTGCAGGATTTTTCACTTGTCCTTCTTGACTCTCATGAGATTTCTTTTGGCCCAATCGTTCAATTCATCTAATTTGCTCTGAATCCTAACCTGACCCTCCAGCATATCTACTACTCGCCCCAGACTGATGTCCTCTGCAGACTTGCTGAGGGTGCACTCTATGCCATCTTCCAGGTTGTTGATGAAGACATTGACCAAAACTGGCCCCAGGAGCAACCCCTGGGGCACTCCACTTGATACTGGCTGCCAAGCAGACATTAAGCCACTGATTACTACTCTCTGAGCTTGATGCTCCAGCCAGTTTTCTATCCACCTTACAGTCCGTTCATCCAGCCCATTATTCCTTAGCTTGCCTGTGAGAATGCTGTGGGGGATCTTATCAAAAGCCTGGCTAAAATCAAGGTACACCACATCCACCAGTCTCCTTGCATCCACAGAGCCAGTCACTTCATCATAGAAGGCAATCAGGCTGGTCAGGCATGACTTGCCCCTCGTGAATCCATACTAACTGTTCCTAATCACCTTTTTCTCCTCCAAGTGCTTAAAAATGAATTCCTTGAGGATCTGCTCCATGATTTTTCCAGGGACTGAGGTGAGGCTGACTGGTCTGTAGCTCCCTGAATCCTCCTTCTTCCCTTCCTTAAATATAGGCACTATGTTTGCCCTTTTCCAATCATCTGGGACCTCTCCTGATTGCCATAAGTTTTCAAAGATGATGGCCCATGTCTCTGCACTCACATCAGCCAACTCCCTCAGCACCCTCGGGTGCATCTCATCAGTCCCCATGGACTTGTACCTGTTCAGCTTTTCTAAGTAGTTCCTAACCTGTTCTTTCACAACTGAGGGCTGCTTACCTCCTGCCCAGATTGTGCTGCCCAGTGTAATAGTCTGGGAGCTGACGTTGTTGTGAAGACTGAAGCAAAAAAAGGCACGTTAGCCTTTACTGCACTATTATTTATATAACCCCCAAGATGAATATGTTTTACAAATAAATAAATTATAAGTTCAGTTTTTCCCCTTCAAAAGGTTACATTTTAAATATACAACTAAATGACTTCTGGATAACTATGAAAATTACTATGCAAACAGAATCATATGTTAATATGCAGTGATTCTGCTAATGCCAGTCTTAAGCCTCTAAGGATGTCCACTGTTAATGAGAAGTTTTCACTAGCCTCAGCAGATTTAGAAATTCTTGAGTAATTGTACAGTTAATAAAAATAGATAAAATAGTATGTTTGATAATCCCTTAATTAAGAAAAATGCTATTTGACTAAACAGATAAAGTAAGAATTCAGCTTGATTAAATGAACAGGTTGGGAGTTCCTGAAAAGTTAAAATGCTGTACAGAGTATGCTACTTCTGAAGCAAAATAGACTACAGATTCACATTGATTCAAATCAGCAATAATAATAGAAGCCATAGAACCTGGACATTGTTATCTTAATCAAGTTCTGAAGGGGCAGCAATGCTTTCCAAAGTGGGCATATTCATAAGTTTAAAAATATTTAAAGGAAGAAAGGTCAATTTGTAGTCTTCCATACTTTTAATACACTATTTGAATGTTATAAATTTACACAAAAGTCACTTTGTATCAGATCTGCTCCAAAATTTTTTAAAGAATAATTATACATTGTTCTTCTAAAACAACAGTTTTAACAGAAGTTATCTATGTTAGGTTTAAGAAGATATCTATCTTGGCCTAATTGAATGAAAAAAAGATGGATTATTTATTCAGATGAAATAAAATAAGTTTTGGAAATGGTTATTCTACAATGTGAGGTGGGTCTACAAAGCTAGAAATGAAAGTAAAACTGTATTGGCCCTCTAAGAAAGAAATTAGTAATTTCTTTCATTTCTTAGTCATTGTGGTGTTTCTTTAAAATAAGAATTTTGTGTTCCAGACCCACATAGAAAATAAATGCTTACTAAAGTACACAGTACTCCTTTAGATATTGAGAAATATAAATAAAGGACAAAAATACATTTTGTTTGAGGTTGGTCTTCAGACCTGCTGAGTCTTAGCACAGAAAAGAAAGAAAAAAAGAAACAGTATATAAGGAGCTCTTCAAACAAAAGCAGAATATTTTTCCTTCTTTGCATTAAGCATGTGTGCATATAGTTAGGACTCTAGGCCTCTTAGCTAGCTGAAAAGAGGTGTTTTTAGTGTAAAGGAGGCAAAATAGTTCTGTTATATACAGGATAAACAGTTATTGTGAAATGATTAATAAAAGCAACCTGAGTTGAACCTGGAATCAGGTCTTTGAGTCTTATGAGACCCTCTTTACAGTCTTATGAGAAACACTTAATTACATAGTGGAAGACTGGAATC